AAGATTTTTTTTTACATTTGTTACTAGATCTAAGTAATACAAAATCCAGGTTTCGTCACAATATCTTAACCATATCAACCCCCTAGCCTTCCGCCCACTTCACACATCATCAAAACAAAAACCAGATCCCCACCCTAGGTGCCTGACGTCATGTATAGACGACTGCCTCACATTAAAGCTGTAGTGATGCCTCAGTTCTCCCCCTTGAAGTTTTGCAAGCACCAAGAACGATAACCCGTGGATAAAACGAACAACTGTCTGTATTTGTGTACCTTGTCAGTTTACGCAGGCCGATCTCTGCCCTGCTTCTGCTCATTAGAGGAGCCATCAGGTAGCAATCTGTGATTGGTGTTTTCGACAGGTGGACACAAACAAAAGGGTCCCCAATGTTTACCTTGACGCCTGCTGCAAGGGAGGCAATGTGTTTGGGCGTTCAAACAAACTCGAGCTCACACACTTGGACTAGCCTCCCCTTGCTGGCTATTTTAAACTTAAGCCTTGTAAAAATTTGAATTGATGCGTTGTTTTTTTAAAGGAATTTTCCCGGTAATTTTCTGTGTGGCTAGGTATTCCGAGTTTTAAAAAAATGTCCGCCAGGATGGAAAATAAGGCTAGAAAATATCTGGTTAAGCCTTTAAAAACATGTTTTGTTACCTTATTTAAAACTACCCAAACAAGGATTTGAAAATGGTAACTACCAGGAAAGGGAAATAACTGGGAGTTAATGCAATTATTTTTAGTTCCATCCTCCGTGTTTTTTCTAAAGGGACAAGAGAACTTCAGTATCTCGACCCAGAAGAGAACGTGTGTTTGCTTGAGTGTTTGCCTACACGTCTGTTGTTTCTGCTCGTCTCTTGTTGCTTAAATGTGCTGTTCTGTTATTTTTTTAAAAATCGTGTGATGTTCCGTCCTATTGTTAAGACTAGTGTTATTCAGTTTAAAATACTTGTGTTGCTGTCTTTTTATTTAAGCGTGTATTTCTCCGCGCCAATCTTTGTATCTGCATTATTTTTTTTAAATCTGATACTAAAATTAAAATATAAATGTATCTTTGCTAAATAAACAATGTTGGTACATATTCATTAGCTGTACCCTAGTATTAATTAGCTGCACCTACACTGATTACTAAAACTAACCCAAACCTCATCATAACCTAACTTCTCCCCGTGCCAATAGCGATAAAACTAGCGTCGGTTCGGCTAATTTATAGCCCAACCAATATTTCTAATCTGATGAGATTTCGAAAATTATAATTGAATTAAAATTAACGACGATAAAAATGTTGGTAATGACGTCATTGGTTCTGGAATATTCGTATCTTGATCACGTTTGTGCTGGTGTTGTTTGGACCAGGTACTATGGGAAGTTGCTTCAGTATATCTGTAGTAACCATTTATTGTCTAATCTGGCTAAGCTTAAGATGATGGAAAAATTTTAAAATCTCACGGTCAGAAAAGTGTTGCTCCTAATCAGGACACACCTGAAAAAAAAGGTAAATGAAAAGAATATAATGTTTGTAATGTTGTAAATGAAATAATTGAACCGTGGCAAACTAAAATACAATGATTTCCACGCCTGCAAATAAAATTAAAAAAACAATGAAAGACGTGACAAACGTTTAAATAGAAACATTTTTGACGTGTGAAAATATTCAACTGGAACCAATTCTTCAAGTTCTGTAATATTTGTGTCGTTATTCTATAATAAGTAAAATTTAATGGACCATCGGACAAAATTTTAATTGTGTTCTGGTTTATTGTGCATCGACGTATTTTTGAAAAATATACATCAACTAATTGGTTTGTTGTAGCTACTGCAGGTCTAATGGAAGTGCTACTCCCATACACATTTTATAAAACAAATTAAGCACGGCTATCTTCCTATAAATGTTACCGGCTCCAAGACTCTTGCGGCTCTAATGCTACTGATTATATCATCAGGTGGATGGACGTAATGCTAAAAAGTATGGTTAAGCCGTTGTTTAAACACGTGACAAGAGTCCACCCACCTCTGATCAGTTATCTAACTCACGTTAAGGAAACAAAGGCGGCTGGGCTTCAGTGTTTCTTCCAGGCATCTCTTCACCCCCCCCCCCCCCTCCCCGAAAGAAGTCTACCGTCCCCGTTCCCCCCCCCCCCCCACCCCCGAACGAAATGGAATGAATATAGATTAGAAAAAATATACTTTTAACTGTGTCCGAAGTAGAATTTATCTGCCCCATGTGTCTTGGGCACAATCGGGAAAAGATGATGATGAATTTGTAAAATGGCTTTAACTTAATGAAAGTTTCCTGACGAAACGTGCCTGTATACATTTAATCTTTAAAATCAAAATCTTCAGATTTTAAATTACCTTTAGGAAAATTAGTCAATGACTCTAATTTTTAACTCCACTTAATGAGCAACTGTATCAACCCCCATCTGAACACTGTCCCGGTTCAACGCCTGATTTGCATAAGAAAGCCACAGTGACCTTTAACCTTAGAGCATTCCCCAGTGATGAAATCAACCCATTCGTGTCACCCTGTTTACCTTTCGGCTCGACCCCAAACGTGTCGTCTTCTCCTGCTCGTGTAAAGAGAAACGTCATTCAATGGGCGTGTTCTAATCTAAACCCCACACGAAATACCGAGTTACTGTACTTGTATTTGACACACACGGATATAAGGCATGTCAACGTGTTTAATGAAAACTTGCCTTGGCCGTTTTAAACTTTCCCCCGTTTTATCCCTACAAGATGATAATTTAAAATGTCACGCACGTTCAGCTTTTTAAAACCAGGTGTAACGAATAGGACTTGTGCTGAAGGAATTAGTCATATGTCCTTATTAGGGGAAATAAACAGAACGGGGGGTTAATTTGTATAGACAACTCGCTCCTGTTGTGGGCACACAAAAAAAGTTAGTTTTCCCTAAACGTGTTTCTTAATCTGGTCCGCGGTTTTAAAAAATCTGGGCTGTTTACTGATAAGATTGGAGGATTTTAATATCAATGCTTTGTTTGTTCAAATACTTCGTTTAACGCTCTGGGTTATATTTAGAAACAGTTAAAGTCAAAAAGATTTTCAGATTTTTACACTGCATACGTAAAATTTCCTGTTTTATTTCGTTATTTGGAGTTATGTATGTTGTGCCTGGTATATTCAAAATTATAATTTTAGGATGTTCAACAGTAGTTTATTACGTTGATTTTCTTTACAGTAGTTTATTTTTTGTGTTAATATGAAGTTATTACTTCCCTTTCTTGGTATTGGATGTATGTATCTTTTTCTGCTATGGAATAAAACGTATTAGTTCAGTTTATACCAAGTTCATTTTCGAAGTACTTAATTTTTGTCTTTAAAAATGTCCATGTTGGGTTCAGTTATATAAATCATTTATTTGCTGATGTTTTTTCTATTCTTTCATGGGTTTCTGAATTCGTCCTTTGATTTACAAAAAAAAAAACCATCTGAGTTGACGAATTTCTGAAACTGAATGTGACAGGAAAGTTTTTTTCTATGTGTGTTGTGGATAGTTTTTTTTTCTGTGGCTAAATAATCTGCTTGTGGTGTTGGCTGTAAAATAGGCCGTCATTTTAGGTGACTTAGGACCATTGGTTAGCTCCTAGTTACTTGAGATGAATTAGTATGGAACAATTGTTTTACTCAAAGTTAGACCTACTTGAGATAAGCTACCATAGGACCATTAGATAATTTCTATGGATGATTGGGATTTAGGTAGCTGACCAATCTATGGGGGTGGGATTCCAGTAGCTGACCAGTTTATGTATATATATATATATATATATATATATATATATATATATATCACTTGAAATGTTAGCCTCTATCAAGTCCACAAAAACACTGCTCAACTCAAACAATGTTTGTATTCCCTGTACTCTTATGGTAGACTGTCAGCCTTTAAGGGAGATCACTCAGGTACTCTTTCTATGTCCTATGTAGGCTTCTGTATTCAGTCACGTGACGATTATTCAAAGACACAGAGACACCTCGGCGACCGCGTTAACAGTTTAACTCCATGTCCTTTGATGTTCTGTCAATTGGATGAGACGACTGGTGCGAACTTTGACCTTAATTTTCCCGTCAATCTGAATGTCTCGGCAGTATTAGGCTTAATTGGTGTAGGTACAAGTAGTATTCAGTGCGGGATTTTTAACGCATTTTGTTCTGTGATTATGGGCGTTATCTCATTGGATGATAGTGGATATCATGTTCTAGTCAGCTTATCCATGTGGTACTAGTGTGTGTGGATTATGAAGTTTTTGTTCCATACAAGTTTAGCGACATCGGTATATAGAACATCTGATATAATCCATGGTGTTAGCTTAGATATTTTGTGCTCTGTTCTAGTTATAAAGGTCTTGTTATGTTGTTTAAGGATTATATACTCAAGGTTCCTTATATTTTTATTTAGTTTTCATGCGTATAGAGTATTTTTATGGACCGTTCGATCTGGTTCAACTGTGTGTCATAGGCCATTAACTGTCCAAAGTTTTTAGAACCCAGAACCCATATGTAGAACTACACTTTCTTAAAAGTAAATTAACAATGAATCCCCCGTGTATACGGAAGCCTTTCTAAATGATATTTTGTTCTCTGTTAAAAAGACGTCATGAATTTTTTCGTTTTATGTTAAAAAGGATATCTTGACTTTTTGGTCTTGTTTTTAGGTTCATGGTTCATTGTCCTTCCAAATTACATAAACACACTCACAAACATACATTCATACATACAAACACATGATAGGACCATAGCATGACTACACATGGCCAACACATGTGTCCGTGTTGTCACATAAAAACGTCCTCCTAACTTCCCACATCTACATTTGTCATGTCATTTAGGCTTGTCTTTCGTTTCGTTACATCGTGGGACTACGTCAAAGTTTTTGTTTTATTCGTTTAAGAAATTAAAAGGTTTTAATTATCGTGTTACGTCATCAGTACGTGGAAATTGGATTAACATACCATAGAAGGATATTCTGGGCTGGATTATCACACTTGTCACATTTGGGTAATCCCTGGAATAATCAGAGGCGTGACATCTGGATAATCCCTGGATTATCACAGGCGTGACATTTGGATTATTACCCGTGTAAAAATGTGGTTAGAAACAGAGAATAAACTGACCACCGATTCACCTATCCCAGCCATTATTGTGACATATGACAAAGTAAGTACTCACTGGACAGATGTCAACTGACATTTATATGCCATGGCCGTCTAGGTACTACAATCACTGACCTCTACAATCAACCTACCTATAACCTGAAGCTACCATCTCACATATTTTATCTCTGCTGTTCATAACATCCTGTCACAGTTAACAGATGATGTTATTGTCCTATTTATGCTTGTATAGTTATACACATTAACGAAACAAACAATGTTTATCTCTCCCCTCCCTCTCCTCATATGATAACGATTGACCTGTACCTGGTGATATGTTTGTATGGAATTGTGTGCACATCATTTGATCATCATCTTTTCTCATTCGTGCCCATGTCACATGGGGAAGATGTAGATTTCATCAGCTGCAGTGACCTCGGCATATGAGGGATAGTGTGGTCAGCACTATGTCCAGCCATCTTTGTTTCCGCAACGTGATTCAGATAAGAAAGGTGAAGAAAATAACAGAACATATGGATAATGTGTGGCCAAAAGACAGCTGTACGTAGTCCCCAGGTCACAAAACGTGACATACACATACATTAACAAAGTCTGGGTGGCGAACACACACCTACCATTCACATATCTAGACTAGCAAAAATCACACCAGCCAGTCACAAACCTAGACTAGCACATATCACATCAGCCAGTCACAAACCTAGACTAGCACATATCACACCAGCCATTCACAAAACTAAAACTAGCACATATAAAATCAGCCATTCACAAAACTAAAACTAGCACATATAAAATCAGCTATTCACAAATCTAGACTAGCACAAATCACACCAGCAATTCACAAACCTAGACTAGCACAAATCACACCAGCAATTCACAAACCTAGCCTAGCACAAATCACACCAGCCAGTCACAAACCTAGACTAGCATATATCACATAAGCCATTCACAAACCTAGCCTAGCATTAATCACATCAGCCATTCACAAACCTAGACTAGCACAAATCACACCAGCCATTCACAAACCTAGCCTAGCACAAATCACACCAGCCATTCACAAACCTAGACTAGCATATATCACATAAGCCATTCACAAACCTAGCCTAGCATTAATCACACCAGCCATTCACAATCCTAGACTAGCACAAATCACATCAGCCATTCACAATCCTAGACTAGCACAAATCACACCAGCCATTCACAAACCTAGACAAGCACATATGACACCAACCATTCACAAACACAAGCTAACACACAGCCAGGCCCAACAAACATGGTTTAGAACCTTCAACCCACCTATCATATTTGACATGTATCCCATTAGGTACACACACAAGTCCCCAACAGTTTCTGATCTATCAGGTCGATCAATACCGCGAATCACTTATCTATCACGATTTCTGAGAGTTCGATATTGTAAGTCGCTCGTTGCGAAAAATTGGCCTCAGTTAATCACCTAGATGCGTGCTTCACCTTCAGCTCCAATTACACTTAACCTTAAGCTCCAATTACACTTAACCTTAAGCTCCACTTACACTTAACCTTAAGCTCCAACTACACTTAACCTTAAGCTCCAATTACACTTAACCTTAAGCTCCAATTACACTTAACCTTAAGCTCCAATTACACTTAACCTTAAGCTCAAATTACACAACCTTAAGCTCCTATTACACATAAGCCTTAAGCTCCATTTAGACTTCCACCTTAAGCTCCACTTACAAGACCTATGTTCCTGTTAAAGCCATCTGCCCTGAGGGGTGGAGAGACAAAGGTCATCTTTGTTGATGTTGTGGCCGGGTGTTTGGGATGCGTTGTGTTGATGATTGCATTGTTATGGCGGGTTTTGGGCAAACGTGGTTTAAAAGCAGATGTAGCCACTTTTCAACAAAGCGTTTTGGAGCTGGCCGTGTGGTTAAAGATAGCCGTGTTTCAAGTAGTCGTGTTTCATGGTTAGAAAAAGTCGTGTTTCAGGTAGCCGTTTTTCAGGGTTAGAGGTAGCCGTTTTTCAGGTAGCCGTGTTTCAGGGTTAGAAGTAGCCGTGTTTCAGGTAGCCGTTTTTCAGGGTTAGAGGTAGCCGTTTCTCAGGTAGCCGTGTTTCAGGGTTAGAAGTAGCCGTGTTTCAGGTAGCCGTTTTTCAGGGTTAGAGGTAGCCGTTTTTCAGGTAGCCGTGTTTCAGGGTTAGAAGTAGCTGTAGGTCGAGATATATTTTAGCGTTTGCGGTAGCCTGCTTGAATGGTTAAAACAAATGGTAGCTGCAGTGAAGTTAATAAAATAAGTAATAAAAAACAGATATTGTTAGTTACCTCACAAGTTAAAGACAGTTACAAATACTATGGACGTTTCGACCCAAGGTCTTCGTCAGCACACAACAGTGTGGTTACAGATTTAACAGAACGGTTTAAGTATTGCCATGTAGTAATATTGGAACTGGCCAGTTTTGGGCAGCTGTAAGTAGCATTGTAGGTAACCGTGTTGTGATATTGGAGGTTGCCATAATGAATAATATCGGATTAAGCTATGACATAATACAGGTAGCCACAATCCCCTCCCCCACCCACCCCACCATGTCCGCCAACGGATGCCAGTAGCTGCCACAGTTTGACATGTTAATTAAATGCAAAAAATATTCCTTACGTTTGGCATTTGACGTGAACTAACATTAATTAGTTGATTAGATAATTAAGATGTAGTGTTCCGTTTTGTATTCGCGGTAATCAATTAGTATGCCGAGTTCACAACCCCTGAAGAAAAGTGTACCGTCATTATTAAATCATGGAAGCTGTTTAAAATACCTAATGAGATTTGTGTTCAATTAAGTAGAAAAAATGAGCAATTAAAATATACAATGAAATATTATTGTCTTTAAATTTTGCTAGTAATGTAAAGTATTTTTTTAAGAATATAAACATGATGCAGTTTAATTAAAATATAGATGATAAAACCATCAATTGTATAATCTCTTTCTTTTCCGCGTTCTTATTTCTAACACAATTAAGTATTACGTGTCAACTTGTAATGCGCCATATAGGCCGTTGACTCCGATCTCAGCCAGCTTTTCTTTTTGGCTTTGCTTCTATAGCCTTTGTCCAACCAAGAACATACTAAGGCAGCAGTTGTTTGATTTTAGTGTTGCCTAGAAGTGTTGCTGTCCCCAGCTATTGAGCCTCATCCGTCCGAGGTTTCGAACTCAAGACTTTTCGTTTAAGCAACCATGAGCTTTACTGACTCCACCACGCCAACCCCTTAATTGTTAAATGAAAATGTACAATTAATTAGTTTCCATAAGACTCAATTAACCTTTGTGTGAGCACTGAACTGATGAAGATGTTTCTCTCCCCAGGATATTGTCGTGAACGAGGTGGACGTGGGTCAGCCTTGTCACAACTGTGAGGACAGATGTTCCGGTTTCGCTTTCCATGACTGGAGGTCAGTTCAACCTTCTGAGACGTGTTTTAACCCAATGGTGTTATGACACCTACATCAATATACTTTAACGGGTTTTTTGGGGGGAGGGGGGGGGGCGCTCCTAACTGGCGCCTATGGTATAGATCAAGGGGGTGGGTCCAACAGCTATAGAGCTAGATGGAGCCGTAGTACCCCGGCTTTACTGGAGCTGGTTGACTCGGCGACGTCCCACAAATCTATTACTGTAGAGCTAGGCGTTTTCGGCTATAGCTAGAAGTCAACACGTTTCTTAACAAGTTAAAGATGACATGCTTACAAAATAAATGCTCTTATTTTGAAAGAATCACTGTTATATTTTGTATATTTTTTAATGCGTGTAAGCTGATTTAGAAACATAAAAAAAAAAACTTGCCACCTTGCCTCATATTTTGAATCGACTCAACTAACAAACACGTGCATTCTGTACTCACCAGAAACATCTGCGCCCACTGCAAATGTGCGCGTGAGAGCCACCAGATCTACAATGAGAATTTCGTCAACGTCTGCGACAGGCTGGGCTGGAAGCGAGAGGACGACGCTGCCAAGTCTGTGTCCAAGCTGGACACACTGAACGAGGGGTACACCTGGGTGCCAGGCAACCTCACGAGCCAGAAGGTGAAGGTCATTTTTGTTCTGTTGGGGGTGGGGGGGGATACGCTTAACGAAGGCCTTGTTTGGGTGCCAGGCATTTTCACACGCTTGAAGGTGAAGGTCGTGTATTGTAGGATGGGAGGGGATCAGGGTTTGACGGTGCTCACATTCTCATCCCTCTATTGTCACTAACATTATAACGCTACGAAAACACAGGTATCGAAATGTACAGGGGTTTTTTTAATAGAAGAAATTACTCAATCTTGTTGTCTTTCGTTTGGTTACTATATCTACCAAATCCTATGCATGCGTAAATCCTTGTCTATAAGCTCTGCGAACGTTGTCTAATTAAGCGTTGTAATTCTAATCAGCCTACGTGTTTACTTTCACTGACTACCCACGGTTGAACTCGACTACTTATTTCTTAAAAAAACACTTCAACCCTTTAATTAACCTAATTATTGAGATCCATTATCTTAAACTTTGTCTTCATATGTTATCACCTTATCTATCCCATAAACTAAATACCAAGACATATAGGTTTCAGGCCATAATGAAGAAAACAATCTTTAATTTATTATCTTTTCCCGTTCGCGCATTTGGGCAATGATGTTTATATGTGCGCAGCTTGCGATATGCTAATGTAGTCAGAACTGTGCCCTGCCTCCTAACGTCAATCTGGTACCCATCAGAGCTGAGTGGACTCAGGGGCGCCCTATAAACTCGAGCCCGGGATCTGAACTCATGACTTTCGTGTGTTATAAGCTCTACCATTCAACTACGCTGTCACCATATGCTTTAATTATCGTCCAAATACTAAGACTTTGACTTAATGCAGCATCAATTAGCCTTATCCATGACCTGTGAACCAGTTAACTTATAACAATAACATGAACATGAGTGACGTTCACTACAAGACGCCAGTTACCCTAAAGCGGAAAAAAAGCACTAACGTTGTTATTTTATTTTCTCTAACATGGAGAATATCTGTATTCTATTTACGAAATAAGTAGCTGAAATTTCCGGCAGTGTAATTAATTAATTATTCCACGAACTCGTGAAAGGTAATTGATTGATTGTCTGCGCATATTGCAAGTCGATTATTTTGGGTTGAGGCCAGACGCTTACGAGCGCTTCTGGGACGCTCGAAATCCGGATAAATGATTGGCTGAGTAGGGCACGTGATGCGTTTGGAGAACGTCGATTGGTCGGGAAATGTGCGCCATTTTATTAATAGCCAGCTATCAGTGGAGTTATTGCGTCGCTCCATCTCCTGCAGGGTCTGGTTACTCTCAGGCCAGACTCGCCAGGGTGGGGCGGGGGATGTTGCAGGCGGTCTGTGGGGTTAGTGGAGGGGGGGGGGAGGCGGTGAGGAGGTGCAGTAGATGAGCAGGGTCAGTAAGGGATGAGGACTGCGTTAGGTTACTGGGGTCAGTTGGGGTCAGGGGTGATGTAGGTTACTGGGGTCAGTTAGGGTCAGGGGTGATGTAGGTTACTGGGGTCAGTTAGGGTCAGGGGTGATGTGGTTTACTGGGGTCTATCGGGCGTAGGTGTAAGTGGCGAAACAATTGATAGGGTTCAGTGGTTCTTGGGTCGGTCAGGGACTATAGGATTTCATGGAGCTGAAACTGTGTCAGTCTATAAATTATGGAGAATTAAAGTTGACCTTTGTAGATAGTTCAGGATTATATTAGTCAGTGATACACACTGCCCACTTTCAGATACTTAACAACGAAGCAACTCCAAAGGTAGTATACTCACCCGATTACTGTGCTAATGGTATGGTACTCACCCGATTACTGTGCTAATGGTATGGTACTCACCCGATTACTGTGCTAATGGTATGGTACTCACCCGATTACTGTGCTAATGGTATGGTACTCACCCGATTACTGTGCTAATGGTATGGTACTCACCCGATTACTGTGCTAATGGTATGGTACTCACCCGATTACTGTGCTAATGGTATGGTACTCACCCGATTACTGTGCTAATGGTATGGTACTCACCCGATTACTGTGCTAATGGTATGGTACTCACCCGATTACTGTGCTAATGGTATGATACTCACCCGATTACTGTGCTAATGGTATGGTACTCACCCGATTACTGTGCTAATGGTATGGTACTCACCCGATTACTGTGCTAATGGTATGGTACTCACCCGATTACTGTGCTAATGGTATGGTACTCACCCGATTACTGTGCTAATGGTATGGTACTCACCCGATTACTGTGCTAATGGTATGGTACTCACCCGATTACTGTGCTAATGGTATGGTACTCACCCGATTACTGTGCTAATGGTATGGTACTCACCCGATTACTGTGCTAATGGTATGGTACTCACCCGATTACTGTGCTAATGGTATGGTACTCACCCGATTACTGTGCTAATGGTATGATACTCACCCGATTGTTGTCTTAATGATACTCAGCGGGTTTTAATTGGGACAATATAAAAAGCAGCCTAACCCTAATGCATTCTTCAAACTTGCCTGATTTTTCCCTTTAAACTTACCAGATTCGTTCTTTAGGCTTGATTACAACTTTCAGATTTTAATTTAAAATCATCTTTAAGATTCACCAATTTACCTTTGTTCAGGCCGTGTATTCCACCGTTACATGGCATAAATTATAATAACTGATTCTATTGAAAGCAGTTCACCATTCTGATACTAATGTTGGTCATGCTGGTATTAATGTTGACCAAGTTGAAATCGACGTTGATCTTATTGATACCAATGTTGATAATGTTATGTTGATTAAAACGTAGACCGCAAACGTCAAACCTCTTCTATCAAACCTGTCCAACCCTCTAACGTCACCATGACAACCCGACTATGACAACCCGACAGCCACGTTTATTTAACCCATATGTCGCTGTCAAAGATTACAATCAGTTGTTATTAAACCTTCTCTACAGATTCTAGATAGTACTTTTAAAAACCTTTCTCAGATTGAATGACATGTTTTGTCTAAGTAATGAAAAGACAAAAAAAGTGATTCCCCTTAAAGTCTTGTGCGATTGTTGGTGTCAATCATTCGATGATTGACTAGAAGCGACCGGGAGTTTTAGTTTCGTTTTTTTTTTAAACTGATTTACCTTGTTTAACGCTATTTCTATCGCCATTAGGAATGTGTTGTTTATTTTATTTAAATTGGCGCTTTATTTCGGTTTTTACAAGCTTTTATTTAACTCACTTCCTCTGTCGTCAGTCGTCAGTCTGTCTAGACGGAAACGCAGGAGTGAAAATTCGGACAGTTCTACTTGACCGACACGATTCACAGTTGGCACGTGGGTCAAGACATGAAGACAATGCAATCTGAAACTAAATTTGACTTAATTGGATGCCTAATTGATTTTTTATGAATTAATTAAAATTTGGACCGAATTAGTAGGCATGTCTAGCCAACCACACCACACGCGTCATCAATAGCTGCGCCATCACGACCACGTAATGGCTGCGTTCAAAAACCATTGCGCGCCTACTGAACGTGATATTCAGTAGGCGCGCAATGGTTTTTAGTCATGTAACTCTATTGTAGATAAAACATGTAAAGTACTGAAAAAAAAATTCATAAAAAACGTTTTAATAACAAGCTTTTATGTAATGATGCACTAAAAAGTAGAAAATAAATTATAGACTACTATTTAAATAACTATAAAGAAAAGCGTGGGTCTCTTCTCAAATATTAGTAAAGGTATAAAATAGGTACTAAAGTACTAAAGTGCCCCACGCTTTTCTTTATAGTTATTTAAATAGTAGTCTATAATTTATTTTCTACTTTTTAGTGCATCATTACATAAAAGCTTGTTATTAAAACGTTTTTTATGAATTTTTTTTTGTAAATTTTTGTTTAGTTTGTCGTGACGATATTTTTTGCAGAATTATTTGTATAGTTACTTCCCTTTTTGTTGCTTGTTTGTTTTGGAGTTCATGAACGGCTTAGAGATTTGGAGAGCTCCAAACTTTTGTTGAACGTTGGATTTCTGTGATGGAAATTGGCCGTTAGATAAAACAAGACTGATCAATATTGGTTGATCTAAAAATAAAATATCCGTCTTTTTGCAGTCGGCTGCTCAGCTTTTGGTTTTCGATTTAGGATATTTTCTTTTGGTTACCTTTTTTTTGGCTACTTTTTATATGTTTACGGTATTTTGAAACTGCAGGGATTTTTGAGCCACGGTAGCAAAAATACAACAATATAAAGTAAAGTGTGTGGTAGAATTTCGTATGTATGTACCTGGCAGCACTTAAAAAAATTAGTTTGAAAATACTGTCTAGTTCATACTAGGCCTACAGATATGAAAACAAAATCATCGAGTTTTTTCACTATAAACAATACCGTATTATGTCCACAAGCCATTTCATTTTTAAAAAATCTTTGAATAATAAAGTAACTGATTATTTACATGTTTGGGTGATAAAAACTTGAGGTCTATTTTTAGGTGCTGTAAAATTAGTCGCAGCATTTAAATTTTTGCCTGAGGAAATTTTTCCCTAAAGAAAATTTTGCCTGAAGAAAATATATTGCTTTTTATCGGCTTTTATATGAAATGTCTCATTTTAATAATAACCATAATATGAATAACGTAAAAAATACTAGCATAATGACAGTAATAGGAAATATACTGTAAAGCAAAATGCTTTGGTAAATAGAACATGTTTAATGTATGTGTTCGCACATGACAGCTTGATATCTTTACTCTCCTGTACCTGCTCCTGATATCTTTACTCTCCTGTACCTGCTCCTGATATCTTTACTCTCCTGTACCTGCTCCTGATATCTTTACTCTCCTGTACCTGCTCCTGATATCTTTACTCTCCTGTACCTGCTCCTGATATCTTTACTCTCCTGTACCTGCTCCTGATATCTTTACTCTCCTGTACCTGCTCCTGATATCTTTACTCTCCTGTACCTGCTCCTGATATCTTTACTCTCCTGTACCTGCCTCTGATATCTTTACTCTCCTGTACCTGCTCCTGATATCTTTACTCTCCTGTACCTGCTCCTGATAT